AACTCCGCCCTGAGGAACACCACTAGTAACATGCCTGGGAGAGGAGAAGGTGGAGCCTAATCGTACTACAAACTGCCGGTCCGTGAGGAATTCTCTGATCCAGGCAACTATATGGGGGTGAATGCCGACACTCGAAAGCTTAATGAGAAGCGAGGCGTGCTGTACCTTATCAAACGCTTTACAAAAGTCAAGGTAAATGACATCAGTCGAAAGTCCCTTCTCTAAGTTGAAGGTCCAATCATTGAGTGATTGTAACATGGCCGTAACTGTGGATTTACCTTTTCGGAAACCATGCTGGTTCGGTGAGATAATGTCGTGTTGCTCAAGATGCCTTTCAATTGACTTCTTCAATTCATTCCTATACATGTGACCCGAGTAGAGCGTAACCATCTCTTACCTTGACTCCAATGGTCTCTTTGAGAAGATCCTTAACTCAGAAACTTGCCAAACTTACAATCAGTTTAGCAACAAATAGAGGGTCCACGTGCAAGCTCCTACAAAATGCGGAAAACCATCTTGAAAAAACAGGGCACCCCTTGAACGACATTCTTTGTAAGCTCCATCACCATCCAATCATCCCTCTGCATATGCACACGCGGTCAACGTGGTATTACTGGAAAAGGAAGGTAAGAAGAGTGAGTAACGTTCACCATGGGGGCTAAAGGAGTCAGTAATGCGGTACGGTCACCATCCTGGATTCAATAGTTGGCTCCTGCACCCATGTTGAAGTCCAGTGAGAGCATCCCATCCTCAGAACATTAGTTGGGGGTCGACTCAGGATGACTATTTCAACGCTTCTTGCGTACTTGAAAGGCCCACGAAATGAATTCACTGTTTGTCATGGCTGCCCATGACCTGCTGCCTCAGAATACTGGAACTTTCCCTGATGAGGAGTCCGCATAACGCCTAGTTTAAGTCTTCAGAGTCAGCCGAGGAGTTTTTATTTTACCGCGTAAGGCTGCCGGTACTTTTCGATGGCGAGAGTCAACCATCCCTATGATGTTGAGCACAAGAGGTGCTGTGCGCTTTGAGAGAAGCTCATTGCCCTTCCTCCTAGTTCATTCGTCTAGCCATGCTCAGTAAATTTCTCATTTTAGTGGGACCTGCGACTCCTTGTTAAGCAAAATGGCACACCTGAGCCGTCTTTGTTCCAAGAAACAACATACTTCATGTAGGAGCCTGAAAAGGGTGCTCCCAACAAGACGCTTCCCTACTGTGCCACTACAAAACTAGTTTAGTTATGCGTCGATGATAACATAGATGAAATGTGTCTAAGGCACTGAGGTTCACCCTGCAAGGTGGGCATATTACACTGGATAATGTTTGCGATACGTTTAAAGCTCAAGCGACTACAGTCAATTGCCCTTCGCTCTCACGGAGAGTCCCTCCTCTTGTGGACTTTTTCCGCCACAATTAATGCTCAACGACCACTCACTTGAATTTCGACTTATCTCAGTAATATGCTGTAATCATTGGGTGGCTGAAAAGCTAATAAGAGAGTCCGGTCTCAGTATACTACGATGATGACTAGCCTGTATGGACCGGTGCTAAGTGTACGTACTTTGAAGCGGTGTGAATGCTCCATATAACGTGATGGAACATCAGTAGGAACATGACTGAATGGCTGGTTTGATGGTCGATTGCTGACGTGTTGGCTGAAGAAAACCTTTCCACTCGTTGCACAGCCCCTCTTCTCCCACCCGACTCTCTCGCTTAAAGACACATGGTACGCTCAAACACATTAAGGGTGTATGAGACTAACAGCCCCCAGCTGTCGATGTGTCGTGGTTTCCCCGCCCGAAACTGCACGGGGGTCCGAGTACGGGACCGTGGGAAAGGCTTATTCCTTGCTACACCGCCCAAAATTCACCGCGCGCAAGTTGCATTTTGGGCGGTGTAGCAAGGAATAAGCCTTTCCCACGGTCCCGTACTCGGACCCCCGTGCAGTTTCGGGCGGGGAAACCAGTACACATCGACAGCTGGGTGCTATTAGTCTCATACACCCTTAATGTGTTTGAGCGTAC